CCTTAATTATAATCGCTCTGGTCTTAAAATAAAACGGTTTTAAGTTGATTTGAGTATTCTATATGAATCAATTATATGTTGTTTATATCAAGAATAAAAAAGCACTTGATCTTTATATTTATTGTGGTTTTAATAAATAAATATTAAAATTATATAATTTATCAATAACAATAGAAACAACAATTAGTGAAATACGAAAAAAAAATTTCAATATATTAGGTTTACTAGTGACATTTTTTAGGAAGATTATTGTAAACTTTAAAATAGATTTTGTACTCTTCCTGTATTGGTTACGAAAAACTTCTTTGTTCTGACGTTTTGGTAATCATCGGACCACATTTTTCAGTGCAAAAATTACAACAACAACCAGCACAACTATACATAATTCTTTTTCTTTTCTTTCTAATACTGGTGCAGAGATAAAATGATAAACTGGACAAGAAATAACAGCTATTCGTCATCTTGTTTTTTCTGTATCAGTATTAGAAAGAAAAGAAAAAGAACTATGAATAGTTGTGCTGGTTGTTGTTGTTATAATTTCTGCATTGAAGAATGTATTCCGATGATTACCGAAACATCTGAATAAAGAAGTTTTTCCTAAACAAAACAAGAAGAGTAGAAAATCTATGATAGTAAACAACGTTTATATGATGAAATGAAATGAATTAATTTTGATATAAAATTCACGATCATATTTATTTAAAAGTATGACAATGATATGAAAAATTTATTAATGCTTGTATTAAAGGTTTTTACTGAATAAACATGCTTATGCTGATCTTACACGACATTGTCAAATACAAGTTGCTTTATATATTACACCTTTTTATGGTAAGACTTTGATTATTTCATTCGAGAGCCTACAAAACTTTGTTATTAACATCTAAATATCAGCTCATTCTACTTCACTTATACAAAAAAATGACAAGGCTCACAATTCTTCAAAATTTTGGATCATACTCAAAAAATTGACTTTTTAAATTTCTTCCTTTGTCATTTAATGGTTTCAGACGTGAAATTTTTCTCTCTACAAAATAGAATAGACTATTTTTATTATTTTTTTTGAATGCCATTTTTTTATAAGAAAGGAATCAAATCAGAACAAAATAAGTCTACAGTTTGAGTCATGAATCTTAGCATCATGCAAGAAAACTGTAGCATTAGTCATAGCACATCTTTTCATATATTTTTCTTTTACTTGAAGATTATAAAAGTTTTGTTCATAAAAACAATCGAAGATGATATTGTTTCCTCTGCTTGGTAATATAGCATTACTGAATTATATCATGAATAATTCGAGAATAGTGTCATTTAGATAGTTTGAGTTTTTACAATTCGAAAAATAATATGAAGGACGATGATTGCTGTTAGATTAGATGAATCATTAAGTTCATCACTATTGGGAACTTCTTGATGAACCACTGAAAAAATTATAGAGCTAAGTTTTACAACTTATTAGATAACTACCGTGTGAATTTGATTAATATCATACTAACTCAATATCTCTGTGTCATAGCTGGTATGTTTTCTGTTGCAATTTTCTTTCGTATATGTAAATGTTGGATGTAGGTGTGTGAGTCTAGATGAAGAGTACTATAGGTCAAAACAAGCGTTGAAAACATTTCGAACGCACCTATTCTTGAGTAGTTCATTGAATATTATGTAACTATGTAGAAAAAAGATATTGCATCACTTTTTAATCATGCCTCTTCAATCTAAAACTTATTTAGATTCTGGTCGAATGATTCTCTGTGAAATCCAGCGTCGAATTCATTGTAAAATGATGGACATAAGGAATTGTGCAAAATTCGGCTTTATCCATCAATAACAACAAACTATTGTGTTTTGGGAGAAAATGTCGTGCACAAAGTCCAGACTTTTCATAAATCAGAAACCACACAATTTTGTAGACCTTCGTCAGGATTATAAGAAATGATTAAAGTCTCTATGTGTTATTTACTTCTTCTGACGTATTACGAAACAGTAAAAATTGATCTCCTATGCGCATTAAGGGTAAAACCTGGTTTTTGTTTGGCAGACATGCCGATATCGAGTGCTCATATGAGGCAGAGCTCCAAATATCTTCTGCAACTGCACACATCTTTCAGCTCAAACTAATCTGCTGTCAAATTTCAAGAAGCAGTATGTTCTCTATGGGGACATAAGGGGAGGAGAATATTAGATTTCTTCAAAAAAATTTTGCCTATCTACTAAAAGATTTTAGGCAATTGTATGGCTATAATACGAAAAGAGACTCCGTATCCTTCACCTGTAAATTTGTTTGCATATTCTAATTATCTTTTCTGACTGCTTCAATAGTATTGGAAGTTATTTGTTCAGAATAATGTCAGCGAAAGACATTTATACTCGAAGCCCAATATGAAGATTTTCCACATTCCACTTCATTATGACTCCCGTTAAGTTCGTTCGATTTAGCTGAAATTTTCATCACAAATATCTTTAACCATTACTCCAGATGTGTTCGTGCCCGTCTTCATTTTCACTCTCTAATGCGATGTGATTGGATCTAGAGGGTCATCAACAAGTGTTCTTTAATAGAAAGCTACGATAATCTTTTAATGAATAGGCCGCAAATTGAGATTTTTCAAAAACATTACAAACATCTCTGAGATCTTGTATGGGGTGTGTTAAAAGAAATTTTCAATGCAATAGGACAAAGTTAGACAATTGCCATGATGTAGCTGGATGAAGTCATTTGAACAACGGTTGGTTTTATAGAAAACTCTTCGACAATCTTCAAATAAAACTTTTTCCTCGAAGAAAAGTCCCATCATTTTCGATGCAATAGCTGTAATAAAAATTTCAGCTCAATCGGCTGCCCCGTTGCTGAAAATGGGAAGGGAGGAAAACAAAGGAGGGCGGAGTGCCTTTAACAAATCACGCGAAACTACAATAGTGCTTCGACCACCATGCCTTGAAAGTTGAATGGTTTGAGCCCGAAACTTTTGTTAGAAATACACAGCAAAGCGAAAAATATTACGAGACACTTTTCTGATCGATTCGTTTGTCAAATGAGCATCGGCGTTTCACGTACTACTCTCATAGGCCACATTATAGACGTCCGTCAGTTTTGTTGTACAAGTGGCCCTAGATTTATCTGAATATTTGTCGTATAGTTCTTCATCGACTTCATCATGTAGTGATGGAAGTAGAAATGAGCATATTACTCGGCTTTATGCACTTCCATTCTTTTTTTAAAGAAATCTTTTTGAACATTTAGGAGGACGACATGACCAGTTATGAAATGAAAAAAAATTTCATCTGAATGATTATTTTCAAAGTTTTCATCGAAAAAATTTCATGAATTTGAATATTTCGACAAAAACCAGAATATGTAAGGATCAGAAGGATATCATGCGCTGCTTTTTGCTACATGAATGGTTAAATTTAATACTCTAAATACTTGTCACTTTATAGTGGTTACAGAGTAAATTGAACTTTTCAAAAGTTCACTACGCAGCCCGTCGTCGAGCAATGAACCTGGACTTTGTGAAAAGACCACGCATATAATTTCATCTGAGTCTTCTGTAGACTCAGGTAGCAACGAAACTACACAATTATTATGGGATGTTTTTCATGAAATGGTTTTGGTAAAAGTTTAACGTTTCTATCGGCATGATTTTCAATTTGAATGATCTGTATGGCATGACTTTGAAAAAACTTGCATTTTTTTTTGCTCGTTCGATAATCAGAAATTTCTTTTTTTTTTGGTTCGATCATCATTTTTCCGTGCGAAAAATTTCATTAAAAATGGTGTACAATTAGGGATGACATATTTACCTTCTTTTTATTTCCTAAAAGAAAAGGAAAAGAAAATAAAAGTGCCACTCCTAGTTACAACATAAAAGTTGCGTTGATGTGTGCCTTGTTCTCTTATCCTTTCATTTTCAGAATCAGTAATGACAACTCTAGTAACTGATACTAATGTTTTAAAATGCACACCGAATCTATGCTCTCATAACAGTCAACGAGCATCCCACGAACTCTATTTGTCCTGCCTCTCTCCGGATGAATTGGCTGCTTGGGGTGCTAAATATCCAGCTGATCTTAGTTATCGAGTTGAACTGGCACGTCGCATCGCTTTCACATTTGACGATGCGGACCAGCTTATTATTTTCGATGATATTGCTATTCAAATGCTCGGATCGGAGCCTAGCAAGATAGCCTATCTTCGTGGTTTCGATCGATCATTTCTTCCTGCTCTCTGGCTATCAACTGGATTTCGTTGTGGTGGTCGAATTCTCGTTTATGCGCCACCAAATCCTGTCGAATTGGAAGCATACTTGAAACTGAAGTCTCTTATTGAACAATATTTACAACGGATAGTGCGCATTGAAATCCTGTACGAAGATTTGACTGGTCATGTTCTGGAATTGATCCGTTTGTTCGAAGACAATCCGAAGCAATATACAACACTCTGTGAAGAGTTCGCTCAACAATCCTCTAAAGAATTCTATCCATTGTATCACGTTCATATGCTGAAACGGCATTTTGAGATAATTACTAAAGATGTTCGCCGATCATTCGTTTTTCCCTATGACATGACTGGATTACATCAACGTGAACTTAAAATGTACTCCGATCGCTTATCATTACCAGACATATCGAAAAATGATAAGGCTAGGCATCACTTTGTTCTAAAATCAAAAGGATTTACGGCTTTGCCACGAATGATAGCTGCCGCCGCAGAAGGTTCATTAATCGAAAGCTATGAAGAATACACGAAAATTCTCAAAAAGCTCAACACAACCCATACAAAAAATACACGTAATAATATCGAGGTATTGACATGTTATTAAAAACTATCGAAAAACTAATTTCTTTTTCTATTTTCACATGGAAGGAAATAATTATTTGTGATTCTCTTCATATAGATCTTTGCTCGAGCTATCATACAAGCAATTGATCAATTGCACAACAGATTCGATTTGCCTGCGTTCGTCAAGTTGGACTCATGTGGTGCAGGTGGTTGGTCATCTATGAGTCCAAATGTACATCCCATTATCTACGATTGTAAGAAAGATCAAGAAGAACGCGTATCCTACCTGCAACAACACATCGAAAAGACACTTGATGGTGATCTGTTGCCAGAAATGGCTGTAGTAGAAGAATTGATCGAACCACAAAAGCGCTCAGGTGACATCGATGCTGATTATACTGTCTGCGGTTTTGTTCTCAATGGAAAATTCTTTCCTACTTCCATCAGTCTTTGTGGAACAGAAAACGGAGCATATATTGAACAAGTGAGATCGAAAAAGTAGTTCCTTTTAATTTAATATTATTTATCTTGTATGTCACAGTGGACTTCATCGTCACCGGCTGATCTTCAGGATTCATTAACAATCTGGCAAATGATGTTTGACACATATTCACTCATGATTGATTTGGAAGCTACTGAATTTGGTTATATGAATGGACTCTATGCCGGTGATTTGTTTATTACGAAAGATGGTCAATTAAAACAGCGCGATTGGAATATTCGCCGTGGTGGACGATCATCACCTGAGTCACTGATTATCTTCGGCATGCCAAATTATGAAACAAAAGTGATCTTTCATATGGCTGATTTAGGACTGGACGGAAAAATGAATAATGTAGAATTGTTTCGGGCTTATACTCAAATCTGTCAACGCTTATCACAAGACTATGGCATGTACACTTTTTCGTCTGCGTTTGGCTACGTGGGCAAAAATAGTGATGAAGGCGATGCTCTCAAATTTAACGTCCTCGTCCATCCCAAAATTCTGACGTCTATTAATCAGAATGGAGAAAAGCAAAATTTATCCAAGAGTGGACATCGCAAAAAAGTCACCGAACTCATCAAAGACACTGTTACGAAGATTCTTCTAGGAGAATTTGTTGAACATTGATCAATGTTCTTATTTGTTTCTCTTCAAACAAAACATGAAATATTTTCAACTTGCACCATTTTCTTTATTTCTTGATAATCAAGCAGTAAAAAGAAAAACGAACTATATAGTGTTGATCTATGAAAATTAGAAACGAAAAAAATCAACACTGAGAATCCTTTCGTAAAATCGTTTATAGACACTCGCATATCTGATTTCAGGAGTTTTCACTGTAGTATACAACGACATGCAAAAGAAATTGTCTTTCATATTGAGAAAATTTTCTCTTTCAAAAACAATAGATTTGAAATCATCTGTTATTCACAGTTTCGTACACAACAATCGATATTAAGTTCTTCTCTGAAAACTCATACGCTGGTGATCACACGATGATAGTCTTGCTCATAAGTCACTTTTATATGCACAATGATGGTGTTACCACATTTTAAATAGACAAAGGGCCTCGATGTTTATTGACTGTTTGAAGAATGTGGATGTGAGTCTTCTCTTCAATCACACCCACCTCTACCCTCCAAGCAGAAGATCATTCCTTAATCGAACGGTGAATCACTGATTTTTGACCGATTATCATGACATGGGTACAATTGTTTCGTTTTAAGATTATGCTTTCAGTGTAATACATTTTTCAGTCATGTTACAATCCGAAATTAATTTATTCAAATGTTTCCTAGTTTTACATACAAAAAAGTTTAATACACGACACTTATCGATTCGATGAAAATGACAATAAAATTTTACTACCTACTTGAGATAAGTAATCATCCGGACATCTCCATTTTGTCGTTTTCGGCAACTTAAGACACAGTCGAAGAGAAAATACCCGTCAAAACAAACATAGTACTATGCATCTTCCAGCACTCAGTACCACATGGTTTGAATATTAGGAAAAAGCAGTATACTGCAAGTCGAAAATTATATCAAAATACACAAGTATATTGAAATACTTAGAAATAACTTCAAGTGTATTTTAAAGTGCAGTAAAGTACTTCAAAATATTTTTTCACTTGAAGTGCGCTGTTTCTCCTTATGATCATCTATAGGTTTCATTTTTTTTACCATTGTTTTAAACAAATTATTGAAATATTTATATAATACTATCATTTTTTTTATCTTATATACATTGAGTTCTTTCATGGATATGCATCGATCACAAGCGTGACTAATCAACAGGCTATTCAGGTAACTTGAATTGAAGATTACCTAGATTTCTATATCATACTGTTGATCTACAGAAAAAAAAAGCAAATCAATGATGGTGACGTTACAATGAATTTTCTCGTAGATAATTAAAAACCGCTACACAATCGAAGGATTTTTTTTATTCTTTCCTTTCAATTTCATAAAGCTGAACGTGATTGAAATTTATTATGATTCCCTCTACGCAAATCTATGCTTTACAAATAGCAGATGTCGTATAAGATCGTGTTTTCACATTGTTCGAGCTCGTGTAGTCAGCCACATTTTTTCTACTCGAGCGAAGCTCGAATGGCAGTCTAGTTTGATATTAGATAATATTTAGTTTCCATATGAAGAGCAAAACATTAAGTTTTAGAAATATATGAAACCCCTGGTATATGAGATTTATTAAAAGCTTTAAAAAAAAGATACAAAAAGAAAAAAGAAATACAAATTTTCAAGCTGATTTTAAAACTGTTGAATTTGTTCGTCGATGATCAGATCTAAATAAACAAAAAAGAAAACCAGCACGAATGTACTATTTCTTTTTAAAAAAAACTACAAACATAAATTTGAATTCTTCGGGTAAAGCAATTTGTTGATGTCTCATACGATCTAATTGTTTTTTCAAATCTTGTAAATTTCTTCCATAACCATTAAATATTGAATCACCGAAAATAACTTGTCCATGTTGATAAATAAGAACAAAACCAGGTTGAACATTATGACGTCGAACAAGTAATGGTCCATATAATGAACTATGTTTTGTTGCTTCAGCTAAATCATATATTAAACACCGATAATCATCATTTGTTGATAAACGACATACAGATATTTGACTACGACCATAATTAAGATGATAATGTAATGTTTGAAGTATTTCATATAATTCATTTGATTGTTGCTTTTCATCATATTCAATTTGACGAAGATTTGAATTTATAACACCTATTACAATTAATTGTTTAGGATTTATTTGACCTATTAATTCAATAAATGTATCAAATTCAAGATCATGAATAATTGGTATATGATCAGCACGACATGTACAAGTATCATGTAATATTGGTGATATTGGACCATCTTGAATAAGACGTTGACGAATTAAATTAGAACAAGAAAATGGAAGATCACTTGATATTACATTAAGAGAAGATGGTCTTTCTTCATTTGATGGTAGTGCTGATGGAGTTCTAAATCAATCATGAAATTAACTTCATACAAATGAAGACTTTTATATAATTATTCAAATACCTAATGAATCTATTCAATTTGAAATGTCTTGCACTAATCGCTATAAACTACTTTTTTTAAAGTGAAGCAGTCTTTTTATGAGTATTCAAAGAGAAAACTAAATATTCTATTTAACTACTAATGTAAATTGTTATCAATGTAGTCAAATGTTAGGAAAAAAAAATTATCTTCTAATACAAAAAAAAAGAAACATTTCTACCATAATAATATTTTCAAATGTTTATATGCTACACAATCTAGGTGAAGATTTTTAACTACTGGTTTAGATACGTTTCTAACATTTGACTATTTCATGAACTTAAGATTATGCCAACGAAATTTAGACAATTGATAGATAGATTTTTTTACCTACTTTAAT